AGGTCAGAATGGTTAACAAGTCGATCAGCAACCGAAGTCATCATAATTTCAATACCTGAGGTCAGCTTCATTTTACTTCCATCATCAAGTTTTTGCCATGGTAATTGTTGCAATGCCTTTGTGTTTTCCTGCATTACTTGAATCAATACATCAGTGCTCAGGTCAGAATGGTTAACAAGTTGCTCAGCAACCCAAGTCACCATGGTTTCTATACCAGAGGTCAGCTTCATTTTACTTCCTTCATCAATGTGATACCATGGTATTAGTTGTTGCAATGTCTTTGTGTTTTCCTGCATTACTTGAATCAATACATCAGTGCTCAGGTCAGAATGGTTAACAAGTTGCTCAGCAACCCAAGTCACCATGGTTTCTATACCAGAGGTCAGCTTCATTTTACTTCCTTCATCAATGTGATACCATGGTATTAGTTGTTGCAATGTCTTTGTGTTTTCCTGCATTACTTGAATCAATACATCAGTGCTCAGGTCAGAATGGTTAACAAGTTGCTCAGCAACCTGAGTCATCATAATTTCAATACCTGAGGTCAGCTTCATTTTACTTCCATCATCAAGGTGATACCATGGTAGTTGTTGCAATGCCTTTGTGTTTTCCTGCATCACTTGAATCAATACATCAGTGCTCAGGTCAGGATGTTTAACAATTCGATCAGCAACCGAAGTCATCACAATTGTCATCATAGTTTCAAAACCTGAGGTCAGTTTCATTTTACTTCCATCATCAAGTTGATACCATGGTTGTGATTTCAATACCTTTGCAGTTAACTGCATCATTTGCATCAGAACAAGAATGTGAAGCTCAGGATGGCTGACTATTTTCTTTGACAAATCTGACATTAGCCTCTCAGCCAATTCCAATGTGTCTGGTGCTTTCTTGATTAGATCAGCTGTCAGATGTTGAACATTCAACAAGTCTTCTGGTTCGCTTTCCCACAACGTATCTAACTGAATACTAAGAATCTCGTTCAACTTGTTCTTCAAACGCAAATTTTCCCTGTTCATCTCTCCTTGTTCATGTTGGATTCTTTGTAATTCACTCTGCAACTGAAGAATCCTCTCACTTACTAATGGTTGTCTCTCGTTCTCAAGGATATGTAACTCGCGTGCTAGCTCAGCAACCTTGTTTTCTGCTTTTCTCCTCTTGTTTGATTCTATCCTTGATTCGTTGTAGATTTCTCTAACGTTAATCCAATCGCTCCAGGCCAGCTCGGTCATGGTAACTCTGGGTAAATCCACGTCACATAACGAGTGCCTATGTTCTCTGCCTACAGAGGAACTCTCTTCAGTCGGCTTGTATCGATCTTTGAAATATTAACAAGATATGTAATTAACAATATATTTGAATAAAATGATTATATGCTTATTGTAACACAAGCTTATTGCAAGCACAACAATTCAATAATAACTGCGAAAGCAATATACATGAAAATAATACGAGGGAAATGATAAATAAATCAATAAATACCAAATCAAATGATTGAATATAGATGGCAATTTTCAACAACAAAGGAATATTTCTTAAAACAAAACAAGCAATCACAGAAGTTCTCAGAAGCAAACGGGCTAAAGCTCGTAACAAAAGAGAATAATTAGCGGGCTAGCTGTGCTAGCCAGCTATAGTTTTACCTTTTCCACTCTGTCGTGTCGAACAGCAGGGACATTTGTTGGCGCTGACCGCACGTATATCACGGGCAACGCATGAAAGTTGACGTTTTTCATAAAAAGGCGGGAATGAAAGACTCTTGAAAATGCCTCGCTTTTTGTTCAAGATCAAAAGATATTTGAGAAAATTCTACCAAGAATAGCGAAAGAATGGGGTCTTTTGTTTACAACGTGCTTGTTTTTAAGCGAAAATAATGTCTTATTTGGAAATGAGAGGCGATCTTCCACACAGGACACGAACGGCTGAACATTTTATGAAACCACACCTTATCATGAAAAGTCAAATTTCTCAACAGTGAGATCAAAAAAGCCATCCATATCTGGTGTATTTTATCACAGGGAGTCATGAAACTGGATAAACATGTTAAAATTTATAAAGACTGAAATGATCAAGATCTAATGTGTCTGAGATTATGCGATTCACGTTAGATGGCATGTTTTTGTATAGATGACAAGCAAACAGAAATTTCTTGGTAATTTATAAACGAAGCGAGTTGAAATCCAAGATTTACATTGTCAGAAGTTGTATTAATTACCTGATGCAATTTGGCCGACATCAATATGGAAGTTGTTTGTGAAGTTTCATCATGAAGTATCCACTTCAATATAAATTTTTGGTTCTTTCAATTTTGAATAACACACCAGGACTTTTGTCGTAGGTCGTGCCCAGAACAAATAAACAACTGGA